TGGGCAGCAAAGCCTGCTTCCTCCGCCAGCTTCTGCTGCTCTCGCCCTGGCTCCCTGTCCTCGGCCGGCTCTGCTTGTCTCCGGGCGTGTGTGTGTCCCAAGCCGGACACGTGGGTGCGTGGTTGGGGGGGCAGGCAAGGCACACCACCCCCCAGCCCGCCACCGCTGCTGCTGCTTGTGGTGTTGGGGGGGAGAGGTGCGGCCGGGCGGCTGCCTTACTTGCTCCCTGGCTAGGCTGGCGGCCAGCAGGGCGCGGCTGAGCTGGGGGGAGGAGGACGGCCCACCCTCCAGCCAGCCAGGTCTCCAGGCCCAACCGGGAGGTTGGCACCTGCGCTTGCCTAGAGCGTAGGACCACCTCGGGCCGGCCCTGAGGGCGAGATCATCCCTTAAAACAATGTACTGATGTGATTAGCTGGGAGTAAAACAATGTGTTGGGAACGCACTGAATGGCATTCCCAGAGATGGACAAAGAAATGGGAGATGTTTGGGAGGAGTTCCTTATACAAAACAAAGTTGAAGTTGAAACTCTGATTGCTTCCTCTGGTGATTCAGTGCGCTAATGGATTTCTAATTAAACTAATAAAAATACTGCTTTATGAGCATTCCAATACTGCTTTATGAGCCTTCCTTTGTGGTGGATGGGAAACTTTTCTGTGTTAGGCGTTGCCTTCGTGAGGGAAATGTGAGTAGGGGAAGTTGCTGGAGACTTATAGGATTAATAATCCAGGTAGATAGTGTTAGCTCTGGGGTGAGGAAGGTCTATTGTTCCAGTTTACGCTAATGCTGGGGTGGGGGAGACCAAGATTTTACACCTTCCAGAATAACGGCCTAGACATGTCTGTGAGGCCTGCCATCCATCTTTTGTACATTCTGATCAAGCTGCCTGACATATGAACTACTGGGGTGCTATTAAATGAAGGGTGTTCGCATCCAACTTGCCCTTCAGCAGAGAGAGAGGATCTGCCTGCTTACACCCCTGCTATAACCCCTTCATTCATGGAGATATAAGGAAAAAGGCATATCTCTGTAAAGCAAGGGACTATTTTTTTTAATGAAAGCTGGGAATTCAGAGAACCTGCTAAACTCGTGTGTGTGTGTGTGTGTGTGTGTGTGTCTGTATTTTAAAAAGTGAAAATGAAACCATCTTCAGGGTAGGGGTGGAGGAGAGGGAGGGGTTTAATAATGGTGACAGTCCAGTCATCAAGAAGTGGGCTGGAGGTGTGTGGGAGTAAGTGGGGCAAAGAAAACAGAGAAACATACATGAGGAAAATGGCAACTCAAAATCACCTTCCAGAAAAAGACTGGGGTAAAAGTAGTCTCAAAAGAACCAGGAAAAACAAACTAACAGGTGTTTTGCGGGGGAAATGAAAACTAAAGGCACAAAAATGCATGTGGAAGTCTGGGGTAAATCAAAGCAGTATGGGCCAAAAACAACATGCAGAAAGGCTCATTATCTGATTCCTGCATTTGACTTGATAGTCTATATTAAACACTCACATCACCATGCCTACCGTCTCCTTTTATTTTTACCCAAATACTTAAAGCCAATCTGTCTCCCTCCAAACCACAAACTTCCTCGCAGGCATAAACTTCCTTAACATACAATGCCACTCCCCCTCCTTTCCTACCAATCATATTTTTAAAAGCAATTTTATCCATTTCTTGTACTACACTCACGTGTCTCATTCCACCAAGACTGAGTTATTTGCTTAATTCATTTGTAAGCCTTCCTTTCCTCAGGCTATGTCATACAGTAGCATTTGTCCTCACATCAGTAAGCAAGAGGGGATATTTATCTGTGGGTTTAATGATCCTCAGCAACTACATCACAAATTCTTGGCCCAGGGGAGACCACAAGAAAGTTTATCAGGGTAGCACACAGCTGATGCCACCCCTCTCCATATAGAGTCTCCAATAACTACCACTACTCTCTTTCTCTTCTTTGGGTGTAGGCTTGCCAAGTCCCCCCGGGGGGCGGGGAAACCCCTGCCCCAGAGGCCCATTCCCCGCTGCCGGTGGATCGGGCCCCGGGGGGAACCCCACTCCCAAAGCATGGGACGTGCCCGGCGTCAGACTCAGCACATCACCCGGAAGTGATGCAGCCACGCCGGGCGCGGGGCCGCGGTCATCCGAGGAAAAACTTTTTGTTTTTCCCTCAGATGACTGCAGCCCCGCCCCTGGCGCGCCCGCGTGACTTCTGGGTGATGTGCTCGTGGTGCGCGTGTGCTTTGCGCGTGCGCTCCCGGAGTAAGCCGGGAGTCCCCGCTGCAGCTTAAGGTAGGGCTTGGCAACCCTATTTGGGGGAATGTGTCATCTCCCACCATTTACTGGGGAGGTGGTGTTCTCCTGATCAATGGCCAAACATCGGGGCTGCCCGTCCTTCCAGTGGTGCAGGCATAAGATCCACAAGTAGGCTCTCAAATAGATTCCACAATTCTGGAGACCCAAGGCACAGCCTAGGAGTCTTCTTCCTGCATGTCACATTCTTCTGTGGCAAAGTCTGCCATCCTTCTGCATCCTAAGCTCTGGAGAGACCTCCCACATCCCCAATTCTTCTGAAGCTCTCTTTGGGTTCCCTCAGTAAAGTGTTCATCTGCCCTGATACTCCTCATGGTGACATTATACTTCCTTTTTGCAGCATGTTGTCACTGCATCATTTTCTATTGATGTAATACCATTTTTCTGCATTGTATTTGCACTCTGTATCATGTCCAATATGTTATTCTTGCTCAATTTTCTGTAATCCTAGTACTCTGTTTATTAGATATCCACTTTGAGTCTCAGTGAGAGACAATAAATATAGTAAATAAATTGAAGACCCCACCCTGCATCTATTAGAATTTGCTTGTTAATGTAGCATAGGCACAGTCATTGATGCTGCAATTTGTGAGTTCTCATAGACATGTATTCAATTCCCCCCATTCAAAATCAACACAATGGAAATGCTTAACTTTGGCTGGATTGTGCTTTCCATATACATTCCGAATGTCGACTACCTTTGTATGCTGCACCAGTGATAGGTGGCAGGAAGACCTAGAATCTTTTCTGTCTTTCCAGGTGGGGCAAAGGCCTGTGATGGCAGCATCGGACAGGAGGAACACCACCATCCACCTCTCATTTTTAACTTACAGAATCATATTCAGGAACAGAAACCCTTGGACAGCAAGTCTGCTGAATACCATGTAGTCTTGCCCATAATAAACCAGGCTCTGCTGGATATTCTTCAGGATATTGCGACAGACAACATCTCCATAGCAGATTACTCTCATGATCCGGCAGCGATACCCTGCTGCAACCCACAGCACTTGGTCTGTCGCTGTCAATCAACTTACTGGAGGTCCGACCTCAAAACATACAGAAAGCAGCTGGACTGATACAGTACTGCATTTGGGACTGGTTTCTTCTTCTTTAAAGATATATAAACAGATTTCTACAGTGACTCAACATCTTAGTGCACAGTAGGGACATGATCCTGATTTTCAAAAAAAATTAGCTTTGTGTCTTTACAATTTGGATATTTTATTTCAAGGTATTTCAGCGTAGGAGTATGAAGATACAAAAACTTGATGGGGTTTATAGTTTGTGCTTTCTTGCAGGAGTCAGAACAGGTTGTTTACCTTATGTTTATCACCTTATGTTATGATGTACATGTTCACCTGAAAGGATGATAGCTTATTTAATTTCCCTTTCAACCTCCAGAATATTTAGTGCCAGATGTTCTGCTTGCTGCTGTCACAAAGTTATACGTTTCATTGGCTGTCAAGGGCTAGATGGATATGCAAGCTACATTATAGATTACAGAGAGTGGATGGAGGATACAGCAGTTTTTTGTTTTTTCATGATAGGAGTGTGTGTCCTAACCAATGCTCCCTCTAAGCTGTGGAGTCTTGTGAGCAAAAAATCTGCTTTGTGAACTCCTGGCATTAAAGTTGTGAGCGAATGATTTGGCTACTGCATAAATTAGTTTTCTCTGGAGCCATCCTTCCTGAGCTAAGACAAAAATGTGTGAGCCAGAGGCTAAAAAAATGTGAGCTAGCTCACACTAACTCACCTTAGAGGGAACACTGGTCATAACATCAAGTTGTGATTTAAGCATCTTAGGAAAGGGTTACATATTATTGCAGTTGGTCCCAACCAGCTTCAGTCATATAAACTGGATATAGTAAACCTAAAAGTTTTGAGAATGGAGATAGTTCTGATTTTTAAACAGGTTTCTAAACAGTTATAGTTTTTTTCTTCTGTTTATTTCCATCCTACTTATATAAGACGTTTCTCTTTATAAGGGTAGACAATGTATTCAGAGCAAACAAAAATGGCACTTCTCACCTTACCTCTGAACAAAATCTGTGCCTGATTCTCTAAAAATAGCTGCACTGGCATGGGGAAAGGACTGGCTTGTTAAAATAGAAGGAAGAAGAATGCCATTCAGAGAGTGAGCAAGCGAGCAATTCTATTAATAAAACACTCAAGTCTATCAGCTGTAAGGGCTCAGCTGCAAACAAGAAGGATGTAGGCAAAGGACAACTACTGCTGACACCAGGATGACTTTATTCCGGCAGAGCGCCAATATAATAAATTGGGGGTCTCTTTGCTTTCCAAATAGATCAGTGTAAAAAATATTCTGCAGGGGTAAAATATTGTGCATCCACTGTACAAAGGCATAGATAAGTAGACTTTTCATAAGTACATTTATGCATAACATAAGTTAGAAAATGGCTAGGCAGGTTTATAAAATTCAGGTTACATACAACTCCCATCAGGATAAAATTTACCCTGTGGTTCTCATTATACAGAGCAGTGTACATATACAGTACGTTGATACCCACATAGCACTTTTAAATACACACACATACACACCAGGGGCCAGAAAAGTTCAGCAAAAACCCCAAACAGTGTTAACAGCATCAGAGAGGCTCTGGCTTCTCCCTCACTTGTGGGCTCTTCCATATTCCTGTTTTTGTTTTGTTTTAATTCTCCAAACTACCTCCCATCCGCCGCTCTGTGCTCTGCTGTTTGCCACTCCTCATGATCTCTTCCCTTTGCTCGTCTGGCTTCCACGGCACAAGTTTATCTATCAAAATCAAAACAAAAGGGCCTTACTTTTCCCACTAACGTGCCATCAGGCATGATGTGCTGTAAACAGGCTTTGTGTGCATGCAGAGGAAATGGGGCCGGGGGGGCGGGGGAGTCATGCAACTATTTTGATTTCACAAAGCCTGTACATTTCTGTGGGTCATTCTGTGCTTTTTCCCTTAATTTACAAGTATGGTCTGGCTCAGGAACAAACTAGATCTATTGCCTATTTGGCATCTAACCCTGACTGAAAACATATTTCTGTTTAGACAATAGATTATACTCTTGTCTTGATTGTAAACATAATATATATGCTAGCTCACCTTGAGTGTCAGCTATGTAAGCCACTAAACTAAGTGAGGCAACCAAATTAGCATACCGGCAGAAAATACATTACAGCAAGGCTATTACAAAAGTCTACCAATTACAAAATGAATAGAGCAGATGCAATTAATATCCTGCTGGTGAAAGGAGACAGTTTTCGCGGAAAGGTCTGCATGGATTCTTGCAGAGTCATACCACAAAAGCCATGCAAGTTGAGTTTTTCGGAAAAAATACAACACAGTCCATCAATGCACTCTCACACAACCATGCAACGTCTTTTTGTCCTATCAGCATTCCACTGATCTGGCTGCCATGGTTTGTTGTCCTGTCCTGAAAACAAGGTCCCACCAGGATTACATGTCAGCACGAGGATGTGTAAGTAATCTACAAGCTTTATATAATGGCCGGCCTATGCTAGATTTTTCTTGCTCCTGACTGGAATTGCAGTGCTGAAACGGAATGATGTGAACTTATTCTGCCGTTAGATAGGAATTGTAGCTGGCACCGACCATACTCAGTGGCAGACCAGCAATACTAGGCAGCATCACACACAACAGTTTTTCTGCAGGAGTATCAGTTCCATATAAAGAAAGAGTGCATTATTACACATGTTGAAAGCATACATACCCATTTTGCTTTGTGTATACCTAGAGATATGTGATGGATCATGGGAACTACATATCCAATGAGTCCTGTCTTCCCTGGATGTACCATGAACTTTTGAAGCAACCCTACACCAAGTCTGACCATCAGTCCCTCTCAGTATTGCCTACTCCAGTGGTCGTCAGCCCTTCCAGACCAGGAGCCATCTTGAACTACCAGGTGACAGAATAGGACCCACTAAGCTGCAAGCATAGGGAAGGAAGTCATATGTCATTGCACTCACACGGCAGGAAAAGAAGCCAGAGTTGTGACCTCATCTAGGAGGGGCTCCACACTGCAAACATGTCACCTACTGCCATATCTTTTAACTGGAGATGCCTTGGAATTGAACCTGGGACCTCTTGCACGTCAAGCACATGTTCCACTACTAAACCACAGCCCCTCCCCACAAAGCACAAGGCAGACTTATTGGGGGAATGGGGGAATTGCTGGGCCAGCTGTGCAGGGTGGAAAGAAGAGAGATGTTGTGGGGGGGGGGCAGCTCTGACTCCACCTGTGAAAAAAAGGAATCTTTACTACTGAGTGACCTGGCCTCATCATCCTGCTGCTCTTTTTGCCATGTATGTAAAAGAGGCAGCACGGACAATGCCCTTGCTCTCTACCCATGCATAAAAAGCAGCACAAAAATGGTGGCTTATAGGGGCTCATGAAACAGTGGCTGGGGCTCTGCAACCCACCTGAGGTTCTGGACCCACTGGTTAATGACCACTAGTCTACTCTCACCAGCTGTGGCTCTTGGGCACAGAAAGGTACTCTACCACTGAGCCACGGCCCCAGCCTTCATGCTGCACGCCAGGCCTTTCTGGCTGTCCCATCCATCTCCACTAAGTGACATGAAATGGAAGGGTAGGAGTAGGAATGGTCAATTTGCTAGGTGAAGACCACAATAGTGTGACGCCACCAGGCCCTAATATGCAATGGTGATGTGCAAGGGCTTGGAGGTCTCTCAATATCAGAAGGTGAATTTGCAGATGGGGTCAGATGTCTGGGCAACTGGTTCATCTTGTCCAGGCTATTTCCAAATCAGACCAGATCAGAGCTCAGCAGGCTCTCATGGGTGAGCCTCTCACATGGTGTAAACAGATTTGTTCAGGGAAATCACCATCTAGAAAACAGTCCAAAGATGGAATAGAACTGGGCATGGGGTAGGTGTCCTAGAGAAGGAGAGCAGATCAGGATTGGCATGGCACTCTTGCTGAGAAACAAACCATTTTAGTGTTTAGTAATTCAGTTATTTACAAGAAATAAATGCTTGTTACAATACGCTTGAGGAGACCATTTTCCTACGAAAAGGTGCTTTATTAACAGACTAAGAGCCACAGAGTACTGAGAAAGAAGAATAAAGTAACATCTCCAAAAAAAGTAGGTGTGTATATACAAGACAGAGAAGTCAAACAGCTAGAAAACTATGATAAATACCCATCAACCCACCCTTTTTCTATTAAGGCAGCCAAAGGTAAAATGAAACAGAACCTTACGTGTAATACCATCTCAGTCACCTCAAGGAGGTTGCTGAGTACATCTGTGTAGGTAGCAGTGAACCCTAGAAGATCAGTAATCATGTATTTGCGTAACTAAAGCAAAAAAAAAAAAAAGCCAGCCAGGAGGCATAACAGACGAATCAGCAACACAACACACATTTAGATAATGCTCTTCTTTTTTTTAGAATACTCCCTAATAAAGTGTTCGGAGCCACGTGTGGTTAAGATGCCTGAACAACCAACCAGCTCCTTAATTGCACAGCAGAACAGGAATCTTGGCACTGACCTGATCAATGGGGAACACAGCGACCACCAGGTTCTGTTTTTCTTAACCTATCCATTCAGTGACAGATGGCAAAACTAAGCCCATCATGTCCTCAGTCAGGTTCAATTTGCCGCTTCACTGAGCATCTGTGGTGAACAGCAACAGTTGCTTGCCCACCCACCCACCCAGCCGAGTAAGCAGAAGAGTTGCGAACAGCACTCTTCCCAGCCTTAAGGCAAAGAATGGCAGTGCGTACAGATACCCTAGCACCGTGACAGACTGCAGAGTGTCGTATAGCACTGTTCTGGCCAGATCTCCTAGGTCAAATGGCCATGACAGTAGCAAGCAGCGGCAGAAAGGGGGGGGGGGAGCACAACAGTAAGCAGCAGTGAGTGCAAGGCAGGCAGATGGTCGATCATGAAACTGCCTCCCCCCCCATATAAATCTGGGCCCATTCATACTTACTAGCAATGGAATGGCAACTTCTTCCCCATGGCAACATTCTATGCCTCTCCAGTAACATGACAGGGATAGGGTCACTTGGAAAGAACCGTGCTATTTTCCCCCAACAAACACCTAGGATCATTTCTCACATGAGACTTCCCCACAATGGAGCTTACTTTGGCTAGTTCCTGTTCTTTCTTCTCCCTGCTAGGTATTAGTAAATAACAACCAGTAGTAACACAGACTCTGTGCTAGGATTCAAAAGCAAACATAATACATGTTGCTTCTCAGAATACTGAAGGACCTTAATTACAAAGTAACAAAGATATGATTCCAGATGGTAAAAAGTTATCCAAAATATCTTTTTAAAGTTGCCTCCAGTAACAGATCAAGACACTGCTTAAGAATAAAAATACCGTCGTGTTCGCTCTCCTTTTGCCCTCCTCTTATACTTTAACCCTTCGTTAATGAAGGCTCGTTTGGCTGCAAGTTTTGCATTAAAGATCAGCAAAGACAGGCATCTGCCAGGGCTGGTTCTCACTTTCCCTCTCCCCCCACACTGGCCACTGATGGGCCTCTTCCCTCATAGCGACGTCCAAGCGAGTCCCTGCCTCCTCTCCCTGGCACTCTCTCTCTCTCAAACGATGCTCCCTGTCCCCCTCCCTTCATCCTGCCCACTGGGAACCTCTCAGCACTTTCCCTTCTTCCTCCGCCCTGGGCCACAAAAGGAAATGAGGACAGGGTTAGAGTGGGACCACTGAAAGGCACAGGGTCCCACACAGGGGCTGCAGGGAGTTTGGGGGTGGGCCAGTCCCCACAAAAACTTCAAGTCAGCCCTGTTGGTCAGTTTCACTTGTTCTGTTATAGTTGTTTTAGCTGCATTACCTAAAATCTGAAAGCAGCTGAAGGTATTGCAGGGACAGGTAGATTTGACTTAAAAGTTCCTCCTGCTGACGTCTGAAATATTTTTTCTCTCATCCTAACTGCAAATGAAGAAATCCAGATTTACACTCTCCACAGAGAGTCACTGCTAATTAGCAGTGTGACCTGCATGGGGGCTCAAGCAAGTGGACTAGTGGCATCTTGAGGCCCTGTGTCCCTGGCCAGTCCCTTAGACTGGAGTCAGCTAACAGCCCCATGTAAGAACAGGAGAATAAATAACACATTATAAATTAGGAGTTGTATAAGAAGTCTTGCTCCCAAGCCCGTCCCTATCATGGCAGGTTATCTGTCCATTTCTAAGAGAGTAACAGAGTAAGTTGTCACAAAGGAAATGAAGGGATACCCCTTTTGGAAGAAGAGGTTAGTGCTTCCTTCTCAACATGAGGCCCATATTGCTGTCTTAAGTACTCCTAATGCTCACAGGTGGAAATTCATTTTCATCGTCCAGACACACAGGCCCAGTGGCGAATTCATGCTCTGGTATAATCTCTCCTCGGAGGGCTCCTCCATCTTCTGAGTAGCCTGCAAAAAAGTTACCAAAGCACTATAGATAAATGCAACAGAGCCCAAAAAGCACAGAACAGGAGGTGCCAATCAACAACCGACTTTAACACAGTGCTCTCTTTTTTTGTCCAGAGCTTAACAAAACAGGAGAAGGGGAAGGACAGGTGAGGTATACCAATCCAATAAATGCTGAACAGGGGGAAGGCACAACCCACTAGCTTTAACATGACAAGCCTCAGGCTTTTCATAAAGTACATGTGTGAAGTTCGATTATTGCAGCCACTTTAATGAGCACAAAGTGTTCTCTGTGCGAAGAGAGCACATCATAATTTGACTGCGTATGAGGAATGCAGAAAAGAGGCCAAATAAAGGAATGCAAGAACCGCCATAATGGGTTAAAGAGACCCATCCCAGTCTAAATGCTGTCTGTAAAAACAGCAGCACCAGCTGCTTTAGAGGAAACACACAACAAACAAGCAAAGGAGTGTGTGGTCAACTAGATACCACCTTAGACTTAGACATGGAACACATGATGTTATTCTTCCTCCAAGGAGTTCAAGAGGGTATATGCTTGAGCAATCCCACTTTCTCTCTGCCATAAATGTGTCAGCCTATGCTGGGAAGGGACAACTTGCCCACGTCTAACCTGAAAGCTTGATAGGCAAGCAGAGATCTGAACTGAAGTTTTCCGGGTCCATGTCAATCCACTCATGTAACCCAGGGTGACCAAACTGCGCCACCTAGAGTTACCAGTGGCACATCTGACAAGTGTTTGAGGCACTCCTGCATGAGGATCCATGAGTGTGGCTATGGAGAATGCCTACGTGCCAGATTGTTCAGTGAAGTGAAGTGGCACTCTCTCACTTCCCAAAAAGAGCCATTCTAGCCACTGTACAACACTAGAGAGTGACGCCCTTCCGGCCCTTCCTGCTCCAACCAAGACTCAGAAAGGCCAGCAGAAGCTTGTATGTCACCTTGTAAGGCTCAGTGCTCTTTAAAAACTTGCTTCACACTTTGAGCAGGGCTGGTTTCCGAAGATGTAACAGTCTGCTTTTTCTGGTCATGTCACACAAAAAGAAAGCCAGTGAGGTGTAGAGGTCAGACAGCTGGTCTAGGATCCGGGAGATCTGGATTCAAACCCCTACTCTGTCTTGGAAGCTCATTGGGTGACCTTGGGCTGGTCACTCTCTCTCAGCCTCACAAGGTTGTTGTTGAGAGGATAAAAAATATGAGGGGAGAATGATGTTGTATGCCACTTTGGGTCCCCTCTTGGGAGAAATGTAGGGTATAAATATTGAAATAAATAATTTAATCTCAGCTTCAGAGTCAGTTAAATGGCCTGAGTAACGTCTAAAAAGGCAGACCAAGGATGGGTCTTGCTGGAAGCCTGAATAGACAAATTCAGGAACCAGTACAAGCTTGGAAACCTTATAACTGTGGGCTGCTCCACATATTTATGCCCATTGAGGACCTAAAACACAATTAAATAATTAATGAAAAGTGTGAATGGGCCATCACATTACAGAAAGCAAATCCATAAGATCTCAGACAATGGTTTCCAGTGGGGTCAGTTCACACAGTCAGGTGCCAGTCGTCGAGAAGCGTTGATTAAGGTGCCAAATGTATGTGTGAGGCAGATGTCTGACAGTACTGAGCAAACATTTTCATCACTGAATACTAGTTCTTAAGAAAGGTAATCTCTAAAACACTTTTCAGAACCTTCTTTTCTGATTTTATTAAGAAAACATAATTAAGAAAGAAGTAATGCAACACTGACAGTAGCTATGATTTAGCATGATATTAAAGCATCAGTGCCACATGTGTAAGGCAACCATCAATGTTCAACAGGTTCCATGCCCAACTTGCATAGAAATCACTAGAAATAAACAATGAGAGCAAAGTCTAGGCAGAGCCCAGGGAAAGGAGAGGCATGAGAGGAAATAGCTAGAAGATAGAAGGACAACATGGGAGATAACACACAAGTGGACAGACCCAAACAGCAGACTGGATGACACAGTAATACTTGATATTTCGAGAAAGCTTATTATTTTCCAAGCACTCTGCATCATCTAAGCGTTTTGAGCTTTTTATTACGAATTAAACATCACCATACCCAGAGAGCAGATTAATGTTTTGCAGATGGCATGTCAGATAGCAACTGTACAACTATCCCAAATTACAGAATAAGCTGGTGTTGGGAACTGAAACCATGCACACTCCTTTGTGCGGCAAAGAGAGATTCTGGCATGTCAGGACTGGTTAGCAAAATCCACTCCTTTGTCTGGCATGTCAGGACTGGTTAGCAAAATGCCACGGAAGCAGAAAAGGGTACAATGATATTTGCTTGGAATACACACATGGGTGCCAGCATTCAGTCTGCCCTCCCTTCATGAGAACCTCCAAGAAGCCTTAGGCCTCGCGACAGGGCTCCTATCAGGCAAAGTAAACAGAGGAATGAACTGAAATATTCTGAAGCAAAGGAAGGGAAATCCAGTTTGTGGACTGACTGGATGGTTACACGGGCTTACCAAGGTACTTACAGGACATTTGCATCTTACTTGTAGCTGTTAAGGCCTCATCACAGGCACAGGCGCAGGGAAGGGAACACTCTGAGAACGGCTTCGTTCCATAGAGGCTTAACCAAGTAGAGTAGTTATGTAGACTTAGGCCCTTAAACCTGTATAGGGCAGTTGCTCAGCCCTTTCCTCATCCAGAATCCTGTGGGCATGTAAAACACATATAATAGTACTATGTAACAGAGAAAATAAATTTCCATGCACATCTCAGTCAAAGCTAAAGTTTCAAGGGTAGGCCTCCTTTTAGTAAAACAGCTTGGAATATATGGATTAGGGACCTTCCTGTAATCACACTGACCGAATAGACTTCATAAGAGATGTTAGTTTTACAATCTATATATCTAATTCCCAACATGCCCCCTAAATCTGCACATCGGGGGCACTTGGGGAGCAGGGAGATTTTCCTGCATGTTTGGAGCAGTCCCCAGATGTGCAGAAAAATCTAAAAACTGTAAAAGAAAAATATAGGGGGGATTTAAATATGTAAAGTAAAAGAGTGTAAATATGTAAAGTAAAAGAGTGTTCCCTGCACAGGCGCAGGGAACACTCTGAGAACGGCTTCGTTCCAATGAGGCTTAGTCTATTAGTTTGCTCTCGGAAACTACTACATGCAGAATGGACATCAGCTTTGGTTCTTGTGAAGGAAGGGCAGGTCTGCCGAGGTAAGCCTAGCTGTTTTAAGTTTTTTAAATGTAAACCTGAAGCCACGCCATGTTCAAGACATACCACAGCCCCTTTGCTAAGTACAGGATCTCTCAAAGGACACCCGCTATGAAAAATGCACAGGTTCCATAAAGCTATCAGGGCCAATATCCAGAATCCCCATTACTCGGGGACAATAAACAGCAGACAATTCTGACTAGGCTTCAGATCAGCTGCCTGCGTTGTGTCCTTTTCAAAGTGACAGGCAATCAACGCCAAGCCAGCACTCACCTGGCATCATAGATGAAGGCACCGAACTTTGCCTGGCTACTGTTGCAGCATAAGTCTGAGGTACTGGAAGTTGCAGATCATTTTCTTTGTTCTCTTCTGTCTTTCCCAAGCCCAACAATCTAATTGTATGAGCCAGAAAGAAAGGGATTAAAAGTAGTCAACCTCTAATCTACCCAGTAACTCTTGCTATTGTATGCATATATTTCAAGATGATGGGTGGATTAAACGGGATTATATCGGAGGTGTGTGTGTGTTATTCTCTCTCCCAAGCCTCTCTGTCTCTCAGTGACCCAGACATATGCGGACAGCCTAAGTCCCAAAAGTGCAGCCCAGACAGAGGTTTACCACCACACTGAGAACTGGGCCTCAGTCATTCACTAGTGCTGACAGTTAAATTAGAGACTCCTACCCTGAATTATGAAACAGGACCAATTTGAACCAATCTGTGAGATCACAGGGCAGCTCTGGAATTTCCACAGGACAGAAGCAGGCTGATTACCCTGACGAGAACTACCGACGACCTGAGACAAGATTTCACTATAGCTGGTTGATTTCTCTTTTAAAGTGCACAAGATTGACCTTCAGCCCCATTCAGTGTGTTGCTGGAACAGCTGAACTGTTTCATTACCTATGTGTCTTGATTAAAACACACTCCCCACCATCTTGAGGGTCCAGGTTGTAGAGGTAAAGGTGTCCATCGGACGTCGTAACTAAAAGCCGCGGCAACTTCTGGATCCTGCCAAGAAATGCACAAAAGCAGGTTGAGATGGATCGCTGATGGGCCATGTCAGTCATTTACTAGTCCTATGCTGCCGTAAATCCTGTTATTAAAAGCCAGGACCCTGGGATGTATTTAACACTGCATTTTACTTGCTCCTGAATGAGCTGATTCTGTACCTGTACCATCACATTAGTGTGGAAACTCCAATAGACTAGCACTTCTCAAATGCAGCCACTGGGAGGAGCAGCAACACCGATGTGGCTTATAGGAACAACAGCGGGCACAAGGTTGGGTCCAACGAAGGACAGCCACAACCAGGAGGAGGTGGTGATTTCCGCCAGTGTCCCCCTTCTTGCGGCAGACCTCTAACTCCACCCTTGTGTTGTGTCTGTGGATAGTGTCCTCCACAGAGCAGCACTGGGGGGGAGGCAGTTTGAGAAGCACGGTGAGGGGGGAGGCAAAGACGGTCCACTTTGCTGGTGAAAATCCCTGCTGTGTGCAAAAATGTTCCACAGGATGCATGCCACTACCTGTGTCTGCTGAGTTTCTAGTCAGGCTAAAAGAATCCCAAGCTTACTTCCTGGTAGACAGCCCCAATGAAACAATATAGCAAGTTTACTATTTGTTCCCTCCAACTTTGGATACGTCATCCCCCATGCTGAGACTATTTCTCCCTCAGACCAAGTCTCTTGGAGCTGCATTTGCAAATCTATCAAAAAAACGACAGTGGGGCATGAAACAGAACAGTTACAGATTAGAATAGCTTCTATATTCTGTTTTGATCATATCCTGTATAGTAGTTCCCCAGAATACGGAGGAAGTGAACATGCAGGATATATAGGAAAGGAGATCCAGAGCACATCACTCTTCCCAGCAAAGCTTTCCAGGATATATTTAATGCAACAAGGAAGAGGTTCTCTTCTGTGCTGCTTAAAGAGACCTCGGTGTAAGTAAAAGAAGTTGCTGCTCCATTGCTATACGTACGTGGAGAGGACACAGATGTTCCTTTGTCCAGAGAAGTTCAAGCGCACTGTGGCAAAGGCCCGGTCCTGGCTCATCATGCCTGACACTTGAGAAGGGAGGTAGTTCGTGGCAGCCATGAACATCTTGCCCATGTAGCCACTCCAGGATGGGGGTTCCTCTGGCCGGCTATGAAGGACAAAGTATCAGTCACCAATAGTCCATCTGAGATCTACAGCAGGGAGCACCCCTACAACAGCAACAAAGCTCTCATCCCTAACGGAAATGAAGCTGAAATACATGCCACTTCATTTGCTCACGTACGTACCTTTGTTACCCATTTTTTCCAGCCTTTATTTCCCTCTGGAGCCTACTGCCTCCCTCACTTCCCTTTGGTACCTCCCACAGTGTCAACATTTAGACTGTAAATACCTTGGGGAAGGGACATGTCTTCTCTGTTTATGGAAACTACTATGTACACACACCCCTTGGACACACATCATAACACGGTGAGGGGGTTTGTGTGTCAGCAAAGTTGAGAGCAACACCATAAGGAGTTTAGAGTCTGTCAAGAGGCTAAAGTCCTAGCAGAGTCACTCAAGGCAGAATGGTCACAGCTGAGTCACCAGACTATTTATTTTTATTTATTTATTAAATTAGATTTACTACGCCGCCCTTCCCTGCAAGTAGGGATCAGGGTGGCTTACAACAGAGTAGCGCACATTAAAACGACTCGAAAACTATAAGATACATCCACCCCCTTCAGGAATCAACAGCCACATCAGCAGAAGTGGAAGATGACACTGGCAGAGGGTCTATCATAGACAACAGCAGTGACATTTCAGATAACCCTGATTAGTACTACACAGAAGAATACAACGATAAACCACTTCTGATCATCTCATACCTTGAAAGCCCTATGATGAGACAATCCAAAATGAAAAAGGATATAGTGCTGGAAGACAGGGCCCCCAGGTCAGATAGCACTCAATCAGCTAATGAGGAAAAGCAGAGGACAGGTACGAGTAGCACTATTCTTGATGCAACTGGGCTAAAGCTGAAAGGACATTCAGTTGTTGATATGAATGGATGCTAAAAGAAAGTCCAGAGCTGTTGACACCAATGCTCCCTCTAAGCTGTAGAGTCTTGTGAGCAAAAAATCTACTTTGTGAGCTCCTGGCATTAAAGTTGTGAGTGAGCGATTGGGGTGCTGCATAAATAGGTTTGCTCTGGAGCCATCCTTCCTGAGCTGAGATAAAAATGTGTGAGATTACAGTGGAGCAATTTATGAAGATAATGAGAGATGGCATACGGAAGGGTATTGAAGAAGCTTTTGCAAATGTATTAGGAAAGCCAAAAAACTTGCAATTAGAAATAGAAAATGAGAAAATGCTGGAACAATACCCTAAGAGTTTAATGGAAAGGGGACTTTCTCAGCAAGCAAAAAACAAACTGGAGACTACACCTCCATCCTCCCCTCAAATTAAAATATCTGGGGAAAAGACAATAAATATAACTACTGAAAAGACAAAAATCCCCCAAAAACAGGAACAAAAAATAAATTGCAAGAGAGAAAGAACAAGGAAAAAGAAAAGGGAAAAGCGACGTTCATGGAAATTTAAAGGAGACAATACTTTATGGACGTTTGATTGGTTGACAAGGAAAAGGAACAGCTTGGGAAGGGATTATCACACATGGAAAGATCGAAAGCATTTAGACAGATTGTTACAGAAGAGCAGACTGATGATCCACAGGCGGAAAATCAAGTTGTATCCTTTTCTTTGTTTGTCTACCTCCTTTGGATGTCTGTTTAAATGGAAATACTGACTTTGGAAACTTTAATTAAAAATAAAAAGTAGAATGATATAGTGGGGTGTTAAGAGGGTACTGTATTCGTTTTGCAGTGATTAAAGATAGGAAAATATGGTAAAGGAGGTGTGGATATTAATCTGATACCACTCTGAAAAGTCAATTATTTTTGTAATGGTATAAAAGTTTAGTAGAGAATGTTTGGATGCAAATATAGTAGTAAATTTAAAATGTTAAAAAATAAAAAATAATAATGTTTGGATGCAAATATAGTAGTAAATTTAAAATGTTAAAAAATAAAAAATAATAATTGGAAAATCTAAAAGTTATAAAAATTAAATTGATAATTTATACTTATATTGGAAACAGGTACCTTATGGTTAATTGGACTATGTATGCTTGATTAGAACTTAACCCTGAAAAGACATGTGTTGGCTTTAGATGGTCATACTTGACAATGTCTCATAATTATTGTTAGAAGGGAGGTGGTAAATTGTAAAAACTAACATGAACAAACAAGAAAACAAGAACATTAAAGAATTATGTATTAATTTGCTAATGCTTGATCCTTGTACTTAAATATTGTTAATTGATTTGGTACCTTATGGTTAATTTGAGTATCTGTGCTATGTTAGAACCTAGCCCTGAAAGGATATGCTTTGGCTCCGGATGGTTACATTTGACAAAGTGCTATGATTACTGTCAGAATGGATGTGGCAAATTGTAAAAACTAACATGAACAAACAAGTAAACTAAAGATCTATGTATTAATGTGCTGATACTTGATCCTGGTACTCAAATAAGAATTATTGGATTATATTTTTAAAAATGTATCTTTATATATATGCGTGGGTTGTTGTTTGGGGGAAAAAAGTATTTCCAGCTTATGTGTATATTTTTGATGTTGTTTATATCCAAAATAAATGTTATAAGTATATATTATTTTGAAAACCAAATAAATAAACTTAAAAAAAAAGAAGCTAAAGGTGACAGAAATAGAGTCAACAGTCTAAATGCAGCATTCTAGTAGCTGGCACATAGACATAAAGAGAACTGTTATAATAACCAGTGTAACAAAATAGAACAGAACAACAAAAAAGGAAGAACAAGAGATCTATTCCACAAGATCCAAGAAATCATAGAGTCAACAGTCTAAATGCAGCATTCTAGTAGCTGGCACATAGACATAAAGAGAACTGTTATAATAACCAGTGTAACAAAATAGAACAGAACAACAAAAAAGGAAGAACAAGAGATCTATTCCACAAGATCCAAGAAATCAAGGGGAAATTTAAAGCAAGGTTAGGCATACTGAAAGATCAACATGGAAACACGTTAACTAAACAGGACAAAATAAAGGAAGGATGGAAACAATACACTGAATAACTATTCAAAAGCAACAAAAGGAGTTTGTAAGCCGCTCTGAGACTCCAAGTGAAGGGCGGTGTATAAATCCAGTCTCTTCTCTTCTTCTTCTTCAGTTTAAGTCTGAATTTTGCAATGAGTAGCTCATGATCTGAGCCACAGTCAGCTCCAGGTCTTGTTTTTACTGACTGGATAGAGCTTCTCCATCTTTGACTACAAATTATATAATCAATCTGATTTTGGTGTTGCCCATCTAGTGATGTCCATGTGTAGAGTCGCCTCTTAGGTTGTTGGAAGAGGGTGTTCGCTATGACCAGTGTGTTCTCTTGACAAAACTCTGTTAGCCTTTGCCCTGCTTCATTTTGTTCTCCAAGGCCAAACTTGTCTGTTATTCCGGTTACCTTTTGACTTCCTACTTTAGCATTCCAGTCCCCTATGATGAGGAGGACATCTTTTTTTGGTGTTAGTTCTATGAGGTGTTGTAGGTCTTCATAGAACCAGTCCACTCCAGCCTCTTCTGCATCAGTGGTTGGGGCATAGACTTGAATTACTGTGATGTTGAAAGGTTTGCCTTGGATTTTGCCAACGATCATTCTGTCATTTTTGAGATTGTATCCCATTACTGCTGCTAGTAAACTTAGCCAAATGCAGCCCTAATGAAAATGGTCTTCAGCTATCTCCTAAATATCAAAAGTGAGGGGGACCAGGCACACCTCCGGGGGGGGGGGCTGCCACTGAAAACACCTTCTCTCGTGTGCACCCCAAATGAGCTTCTTTGACTAATGGGACAGTCACGAGGGTCTCTCCCTGTGATCTTAATCCCTGGGCAGGAACATAGAGGGATAGTCAGGTCCTAAGGAGGAGGAGATTGGATTTATACCCCACCCTTTACTACCCAAAGGAATTTCATAGCAGTTTACAATCCCTCTCCCTTCCCCTCCCCACAACAGACACCCTATCAGGTAGGTGAGGCTGCGAGAGCTCTTTCGAGAACTGACCTTGAGAGAACAGCTCTGAGAGAACTTGTGACTAACCCAATGTCACACCAGCAGCTGCATGTGGAGGCATGGGGAATCAAACCGTTCTTCCAGATTAGAATCCATGCACTTAACCACTACACCAAACTGGCTCTCAAGCCACGTAGGCTACCAGAAATACAATAGGTTCAATCCTTTGCAATCACCTGTCAAATAGGACTCCATTCAGACACACAGGTGCCCAAATCCCACCTTCCAGGGGCAACCGTTTCTCTTAAATGACAGCTTAGACGTGCATAAGCCATGTTTTTCCCATTTGGCCCTATGTCACTCCCTGGCTGGACCAGCGCTACCTCTCACTGCTAAACTGCAATAGATTAATCTAGGAAAGTAGCTAATGTTGTATGTTGGGAGAGATAAGAGACAGGTTTCCAGTAAGCAAACAGCTCAGATTCTGTGACCAATGGCAGACTTTGGATGCTTGCAGTGGGACTCTCCTGTTGGCTTGAGAGAGAAGCCTCCTGGCATCTCTTCTCCTGTTTCCCACAGTAACTCTGACATCAGCTACAGCCTGGTTGGTTGTAACCAGAGTCACAAACACTGGTAAAGAATAGATAGTGGCTGTGCTTGAAGAAGCTGAAACAAGTCCAAAACTTGTTTAGGAATACAAACCAGAAAAGGTGGAAAGAATGGCAGCAATTTTCAAAGCAGCAATAAGCATTTCTCTGCCAGAATCAAGGACCAAGACGATAAAGGCTGGTGAATCTCTTCACCGCATACTCAACGCAATTCTGTTCACCTGTCTGTGAGATGTTCCAGCTTGAAGATGTGCACTGTCTCAGTGTTGCTCGATGCACACAAGAATTGTGAATCCATGCTGAACACTAGAGAGCTGATATTCACATACCTAAAGGCCAAGAAAAAAAGATGGTTATGGCCACTGCTTATGGCAACAAAACTTAAGAGGCCAGTCTGTACTAGGTTCTGTTAAAAACAGGCAGATCTGAGAGGTCTATGTGAGAGAGTGGTTAAGTACTATAATAATCAAAAAGAGCTGTTCACTCCATCAGGCACACCAGGTTTTGCAGCCTCCAGCACAGGGGCAAGTGCTATGTAGAGCTAGTGTGGTGTAGTGGTGGAGAGAATGAGCTGTCACATTCAAATTCCACCTCATCTTTGAACTTCCTTACACAAGCCAGTTTTCAGCCATGACCCCCTCCCATTTAGTATATGGGGTTAGTAATACAGGCCTACCTTCCAGAGATGCTGTATGGACTGCTAAGATAATGCAAGTAAAATGTTTTGAGTACTTAGAAAATCTCTGCATAACTACCAAGGATTACTATTGTTGTGTCATTCGATTTCTCTAATCCAAGAATTAACAGAGACTTAGTCCTCTACTTATGGCTGGCAAATTAAAAGTGCTCACTGGACATAAAGCCTAAATTCTGGCTGCTTCCACAGGAAGGTTTTCTCTGGTTTGGAGCAGTCTTTTTGGCACATCCTTACATCATTGTCCCAAAGAAATGGGGGGTTATTTTGACCGCCAAACGTCATAGGAAATATTTGGTGTACTCATTTAAAGCTTTCTACAGACACCAAATTCCTGTTATACTCCCCTCTGCCTTTATTTTTTTACTTTATTATTTATTTTATCAAACCTCAATAGCACTCAATAGACTTGGCTTGAAAGTGAAAATACTATGCATAATCATATTTGGAGTTTCTAGTGACTCCAACAAATATTGAAAAATAATTTTATCACTGTTCCCATGTATAAATAGATGGACCAACACCTATTATCTCCATTTTGTAGGAAAGTGGAGCAAAGTTCCAGAAGTTAATTTTTCCCTATAACTTATTTATATATATTTATTGTTCAAAAATCATCACACTTCCCTTTGGGGTTTTACACCACTTTTGGAATTGGGGGTTGAAATTACCCCCAAGGAAACCAGTGTTTGCAACCTGAATTGTTGTGTTATATAGTAGGAGCAGGTAAAGGCCCTGTGTTTGTGCTCTGTCTAAGTTTCCCTTCTGTCCCACAGCCACATGGAAAAGCTCAAATTGAACTGTATCGCAATCTTGGGAAATGGGGTCATTCTACCCCCTGGCAGACAAGCCAAGGTATCCTCTGAAATTCTTCACATTTTCCAGACTTGAAGGAGCCATTCAGCCTGGAATTTTAGATGACACCTTAGTAGCTAATGCCATGATTGAGAGAGCTATCAGGTTTCGACTGAGATGTTTCCCTTTGTTGAACCTATTCAAACTTCCCCTTTGTTGAACCTATTCAAATTCAAATGCCTAGGCTTGAAATTCAAAACTCCTTTGAACAACAATGTAAGAACTGTCAGCCCAGGGTACTTCTTAGTCAGTTGAACCAGAGGTTACTCTGCATGCCTGGAAGAGCTTCAGAATATATTTTAAATAAGTATATACTTTCAAAGGGCGGGGTCAATTTGACCCCATTTACGTTTCCATGGGGTTGAGATGTTTTCAGTGTGGGGTATTTTTGACCCTAATTCCAAATTTTACTCTTTTTTGTGCATTGCTGAAGATAGTTATACTTGAGGCCTGATTTTCTTCTTAGTAGCTAATGCCATGATTGAGAATTGATTATTTTTGCTGTAATATTGGGGTAACTTTGACTCCTATTCAATGTTCCCTCTAAGCTGTGGATTCTTGTGAGCAAAAATTCTACATTGTGAGCCACTGGCATTAAAGTTATAAGCAAGTGATTTGGCTGCTGCATAAATTAGTTTGCTTGGAGCCATCCTTCCTGAGCCAAGACAAAAATGTGTGAGCCGGAGGGTAAAGAACTGTGAGCTAGCTCACACTAACTCAGCTTAGAGGGAACAGTGCTCCTATTCCAAAGTAATGTAGTAATCTTTTTCTCCTTGCAAGGGTTTTAATAGCATACTTTCTGTGTGTCCCCCCCCCTCACTTCATTGCAATTTTCACAAACCTGGTTTGGTACAATCTTTGCATAAAGTTGGAAGTCAAGGTAGTGTCTGTATATCATTTACATAGTAAGCTGTACATTTTGCTGGTTCCACCTGGATCAACACTATTTTCCTTTCTTTGCCTTCCCATGACCCATCACCACTGGCAGGCTTTCTTTTAAAAAAATCCACAACTGACATATCACTATTGTGTTATAACAGTTATAAAAAATTATCTGCAAAGTCCTCTGAATCCCCAGCTTACATTGAAATGTTAGTCTCTAGTAGGGATGGGCACAAACCAAAGAAACAGTAGTTCATGGTTCATTTGATCACACAAACCATTAACTTTTCCCATTTTCTGAACCAGTTTGTGGTTTATTCAGTTTGGGAGGCAGCATCCTCACAACTTAGAGACGTCAAACTCACACAGAGTCTTCAGCAGGCTCTCCTCCACCCACCCTCAAAGTTTGGTGAAGATTGGATTTGGGATGTCTGAGCTATAGCCCCCCAAAGCAGGTGCCCTCAGGAAAGCTCAGTTGTAACCTCCCCTTAAATCAGCCATGCAGAAAACAATTCTTCCTAACTCACTCTCACACAATGACTAACTCCTCTCTCTTCCTGCTGCAAAGTGAAAGCAGCTGAGTCAGGGTGTGGTATATATATTTAATCTGCTCTCATAGAGCAGAATAGGAGCTCCATGGTTGGCTCCCAGAGCTGCCAATCAAGCTATGGACAATCCTATTGGTTTTTCTAGGGCTCTCCACAAGTCCACCCCCGGCGCTGCCTGGGAATTGATTGAATTGGCGCCAGGCTGTCCGGAGAACAAACCACTGTAATGAACCAAATGAACCTCCATTGAAAAAAATCGGTTCATTTTTGGATTCGGGAACGATGCAACCAAACAAACTGGTTCATTTTTCAGTTCGTGTCCATCCCTAGCCTTTCTTTTTCCTTGAAGAGATATGCCGTTTTCCTTTAACCTCCATAATGAAAGGGGCGAGCAACTTACTTTTTAAAATGAAAGCTGGGAATTCAGAGGACATTAACAAGATGGCTAATTTTTTTTAAAGCCCCCCCAAAGCCCTGTGGTGCTACTGAGGGGAGGAGATAATGGCCACAGAGGCTCAGGCAATATAAGCATGGGGTGAACTGACATGTGAATGCTCCATTGCCACCGCAAATGCAATGAAATCAGCTACACAGAAAATAAGCACAGCACAGAAGCAGGGAATTGAATCAAGTGCCTAAACCTCAGTCACTACATCTCAGGCTTTTTTTCTGGGGGAATGTGCCAGAACAAAGTTCCGGAATCTCTTCAACAAAATTCTTTTTAAAATGTTTAAAAGTTCACGAGTTTTCAGTATACAGATTGAAATTTTCATTTCCCTCTTGAGAGTTCTGGCACCTCTTTTTTTTTTCACTTTTAAAAAAAAAAAAAAAAAGCCATGACCACATCGAACAGCTCACTCCACTCCACATTAATCCATCATAATCACACACCACATGCACCTACTGAGTGATCAGTGCAGACATCGACATGTATGTAAACTTAAAAGACACCTCCAAGGAAGGCATACAACATGATCAGCAGCTTAAAATAACTTGAGGGAAAGGTTTTTTCCTCCCCTACAGGCTTTTTATTATTCAACAAGCAATAGGGATGTGGGAGAACCTGCAACAGATGTACATGGGGTTGGATCCTGCCTAAAATTTCTAAGGATGGTGTTCCAGCTCCAACGGGCTGGTCCTCTCCTACGAGCCCCCGTTCCTTCCGCCCCCTGAAGACCCCCCCCCACTTACCTCAGCTGTTAATGGCTCCAGAGGAAAGCCCTATGGCCCCGAAACGAGCGAAGCAGCTGACCAGGAGGTCAAGGGCAGCGGCAGAAGCCCCGACACGAAGATGGCCCGGCAGTTGCCTCAGAGAGCGCGTCCCCGGGTACGCGACAATAGGGCGGGTTCTTGGGAGACGCTGCCGCCGAGGCCCTCGGGGCGAGAGCGCCCCGACACAGTCAGTTGTTCCGCGCAACCAGAGGCCGGGCGACAGCCTCCACGCTTGGTGCCTCGGGCGGGGTCAGAATGCCCCCACACCTAGCAGAGCATCAGAGCTCTTACTGGGAGGTGGGACTATTGATGAAGGACAGCCCAACAGCCAGTGAAAGAGAGGGACAGGGTGGAGGGGAGGATAAAAGGGGAACAGAAAGGGAAACCGGGGAGGAAGAGATGCCGAGCAGAGGATGGAGGCGGGCTGTCCAATGGTCGGAGAGAGAGGCGGCGTGGCAGATGTCTCCAGTGGCTCTTGCGGGCGCAGGTTTGCCTTGGTGAGGTAACCAGGTAGCCGGCCCCATTCTGAGGTCTCCCGTTCCCCTGCAAAGAGGGGCAAGTGCCATTGCGGGACGGCGACTGGGGGTAGGGACTCCCCCACGGAGCGGGCGGGAGCGCCACAGATGGAATACACTAATTACCCCTCCTATGGCAGAATTCCATCTCCTGCCCAGCTATTCCTGGGGGTCCTCTGTCCCCTCAAAGCAGAATTTTGAGGGTATTGCGGGCTATAGTGAGAGTATGGAATCCACAATCCCCAGAATCCTTCCATTCATGGAACTTTTAGTGAAGATCCACGCTACGACAAAGAACTCATATTTACCCTCTCTTTGTTGTTGTTCAGTTGCACAGTCGAGTCCGACTCTTCGTGACCCCATGGACCAGATCACGCCAGGTCTTCCGTCGTGCTCCGGAGTTTGCTCAATTTCATGTTCGTTGCATCTATGACACTGTCTAACCATCTCATCCTTTGCCGTCCCCCACTCTTACACAGCACAAATATGAGGAATCCTCATGCCAATCAATTCTGAGAAGATTTTCAGACTGTCAAAAGAACGAACTTTTCCCAACCAAAGCACACTTTCTGTGGCCATGTTTGTGCTGAAAAGCGCCTGCATCATGACCCTGGACTTCCTTGGTGGTCTCCCATCCAGATACTAACCAGGGCTGACCCTGCTTAGCTTCCGCAATCAGACAAGATTGGGAAAGCCTGGGCTGTCCAGATCAGAGCAGCCTAATCCTACTTTCTTTAAAATAACTGCACACGGAAAGGATTCAGAAGTCTCTCTAGAGCTTTTGCAAGGTGACATGGTCAGCAGCCCTAGAGCACTTCATCCATCTTCTATACCCTTCCTGTACTTGGGCCTCCATGGACATGTCTCACTGGATGTGCTCTGGCTTTGGCATTTCCATAACAAAGAGGCATGCGGGAAGAAATCTGCCCCAAGGGAGCTCAGTGTAGCATAGGAAGCCCTGCACCAACACTCTCATTGCAAAGCAGGCCAGCAGTAACCCACATGCAAACAACAGAAACTCTGCTGATGTGCAACATGACTCGAGATGGACCTTTGGATCAGAGACTCTAGACTGGGAGAGGAAAGATTTCCCACTACCCCTTTCATCCCTGCCATTTTCAGCCACCACACGTCAAGGGCCTGTAACCTGCAACTCGTTTGGGTGTCCAAACCCATCCTCTAGATGGCACCCCTGCTACAGAAAGGGAACAGCAAACTGACCTCTTCATCCCTCTCCTGAATTCGTAGAGCTTTTCTCCTTCAGGGATGGAAAACACACGAATGACAGTCCCCTGAAAGAAAATATGTAAAGGCACAAGAAGTTGCACATCAAACAAATCAAATTAATCCACAGCAGCAGAAGTTCACCTTGATGCTTTCAAAGGAGAGTTTAGAACACACAACAGTAATTCAGACAGACAGACATGAGCATACACATGACCCCCTCTAAATGCCAAGGCACAACAGAATGAAGATCTCCCACCACCAGAAGAAAACACCCTGTCTTGTACACACTATGCAGAAACAAGTTCCATTTATTTCAATACGACTTACTTCAAGCTAAGTTTGCAATCCTTAGCCTATTTACTAGGAAAAGAGTTCTACTGAATTCAGCAAGACTTAGTTTCAAGTAAACATATTTAGGATTCATCTATAAGTCTGCTTAGTTTTGGGACCTTGCAGCTCAAGCCTAATTTGTTCACTAAGAAGCAAGTCCCACTGATTGCAATGGAAGGTAACCTACAGGTAAGTATGAACAGAAATGCAACCATGCACCTATTCCTATGAATGTTTATTCTGCAGCAAAGTCCAGCTGTGTCCAATAGATTTATTCCCAAGTCCCACAGGCTGCAATCTTACACACAGTCACTTCAGTGTAATGCCCACTGGAGTCAAAAGTATGCACAGGATCACACTGTGCTACACAGGCAGTTTCCTGTATCATGGTTAGCAAGATAGGGAAAGGTTCAGGTGGGTAACCATGTTAGTCTGAAGCAACAGAACAAAGTTTGAGTCCAAATCTCTTCCAATTTATTTCAATTTGTTATAAATAAAATGAAATAACCTAATTTATTTCTGTTGGTTTCAACGGGAAACACATTTCCAGGCATAGCATCTTGGCTTCCCCTCCAACTAGGATTACACTGTCCAGGACGTTATCCCTGGGTCACTCCTGCCACATTTAAGAAAGATAGGAAAAAGGATCCCAGTTGTCTAAAAAATTAAATAAAGGTTTGTTAATATATTTTTTAATGAATATGCTATATTATAGCATATAAGCAGCTACTTCTCCAATTACCATAGCATGTGGGAGATATTAGTGCCTCCAAACAAACTCTCAATAAAACAGGAAGCATTCAGTTAGCCACCAAAGTGAAACTGTGTGATCAGATAGAGGGGGAGGGAGAGCCAGAAGAGCTCAAGAGATGGGACACTGGCCTACAGGAAGGACTCAATCATTCATCAGAACCTTTTATTTCTAGTATGCATGTTGAATTTAATTGCCCATAAAACTGAGCCCCTTTTGCCTGAAATTTGGCAAGAAGGATTCCTTGGATGACAGGTAAAATCCCTGGAAATGTCAACCTGAACTGAATGGAAGACAAGAAGTTACAGCTGGAAATGCAAAAAACAAGTGAAACAAAAAAAGAGTGAAATTGTTGAGAAGAAACAAAAACAGTCATTTGCACACCCTTATTCTCAACAGGCCTGTCCTTACATTATTTCACATATTTCACATTAACAGGTCTGAAGCCTCACTTCCCCCAAATAACACAAAAGCTGCACAGAATTGTTTGAGGGGGACCCCCGTTCCATGCACTCACTTTTTCAGAAGCACTTGCTAGTTTTGACCCTGTGGAGTTGAAAGCCAGGGCAGCAAGAGGACCATCGTGGGCAGGAATTAAGCAGACATCTTTCTGTAAGTCGAAAAGTAAAGACAGTTTGGATTCCTATTTAAACTCTTTAAACCCATGGAAAGATGGGAAGAGACAGAATTTTTGTTTTTCTTCAGAATGTATCAACTAAATAGAACTATTCTCTTACACGCCCAGGGAAATGCTGATTGTCACTTTGGGGTCAAGAAGCAATTTTTCTCCAGGCCAGTTTGGCCAGGGAACCTGGAGGGTTTTTGTCATCTTCTGGGTCACTGCAGATGTGTGTGTGTGTGTGGGGGGGGAGGTATTTGCGAATTTCCTGCATTGTGCAGGGGGTTGGACTGGATAACACTGGAGGTCCCTTCCAACTCTATGATTTTATTTTCTAAGCAACTGCACTAGTCTTTTCAACCAACATCTACTTAGTCTTACAATCCGGAAACACTCCACATTATCCCATCAATTGCCTTCCATCCTCCTCCTTCCTCTATGGTGACATTTAAGCTTCATCAGAAGTGAGCTCCCTCAAATATAGTATATTTCAGAGAAAACCAGAGACATTCATCTCTTTTTATTTTTGTAATGAAGTCTGGCCAAGTGACTTTCTTGGGCCAATACAAAATATTGTTCTGCTCATGGCAGTCTCTATTCACATCAACACATGAAGCTTTTGTTCTACTGACTCGGACCATTGGCCTTCCAAAGTCTACTCTGACTAACAGTAGCTCCCCAGAGCCTGATTAAACTCTTTGTCATCACATACTACCTGATTCTTTTAACTGGAGATGCGAAGGACTGAACCTGGTACCTTCTATATGTTAAGGAGATATTTTACCATATCCTTTGCAAGCAGATTCTTCTCCACAAGATACTCGAAGGATGTTCCTCACTTTTTGGTTATTCATGTGCTCTTTATGTGCAGGAATGTATTTCCCCCATTACACCCACAAAGTTGATAATATTCTGGGAAGGCACGGGCACAACCAAAAGGAGAGAAAGTCTTTCATGAATGTTTTCCGCAGTGTTGAAAAATGCCTTCCCTCCTTCAACAGATTTTTAAAGATTACTGCAGCAGGCTAAAAATGTTCTCTAATTCAGGAAGCACGGCCCTCATCTTCAGTTGGCTTTGTTTGCCTTTAGCAATGCTATTGCATACCCAAATCTAATATTATCATATCATTTGCATTGTGATACTCGATTAGCTGAAATCACTCATATTTCTATTCCCAGGAAGGGAAGGGAGTAATCAGAAGGGCAAAATGGACCCAAAGTGGCAGCAGGTATAGGAAACAATAGCAACCAACATGACTTTAAAAAGATGACCACTGTCTACAGGATTTTCAAGATATAGTTCCACATCCTATCCCTGCAATTACTCTTGGCCCCAAATCAAAACAGAAGAATTTATGAGGCTGCCCAAAGTGGCCAGAGTTTCTCCTCTGCTTTATTAATTTAGAAAATCTCCAGGCCACCTCTCCAGGGAACCTGCCCAAGGAGGCTTACAAAATAAAACACGATACAAAAAACACCATAAGTTGTTGATTAAAACCAGCAATAAGACCCCAACCAGAACATAAAACCATAAAAAACACTGAGCAGCTTAAAATGAGTCTTGCACAGTTCTCAGTCTAAAAGCAGACTGCGGCACGCTGGGAATGTTGGCAAAAGCTGTATTCCACTAACACCCACAGAGCAAAAAGTGCCATAGATATGACATTCCTGTTTCATTTTTTAAAAAGTCTGTAAGTGTGCTACTGCCTCATTTTAGTTCCTCTACCAATGAGAACAAGGGTCAAACTGTGCTGAGGCTTACGAAAATGAACTGTTGAAAGAAACTTACGTAAGGATTCTTCAAAAGTCACTTCTGTACCTACCAAATTGTTGCCATCGTACAGTGCAATCTCGCCGACAGTGGTACTACCGGGGTATGCCAAGTAGGAATTGGAATGGTTGATAGAAAGTGCACATAAACCTATAACACAAGGGGGGAAAGACATTATCAGACACAGCTTTAAGGCAGTGGCTGAAGGACTGTGCCTGCTGGGAAAGAAGTTCAACCTGCTCCATACTTCCAGTCAGCCTCAGGCTGGGTGATTTGCAGAAGGAAATCGCTCTGACTCTGGTGACTAAAGGTAAGTAATGGTAAAGCTTCATCTAGTGCTTTAATTCTTCACTCAGAATGCATATGAAGAGGATTTGTCTTTACTGTACAGTATTTTATCATGCAAATCCACCCATTACATCATAATGTCTGCTTTCAGAACAATTAGACTTTTCTGTTTTGAGGACTGCAAGAGAGATGCCTCCTGAAGCTGCTGGCAAGACAGGATTCATGGTCTGATGCACAATGAGCAAAGCTAAATGCATAGGAGAACACAATGAGCTCATTGGGCTATGTGGTACAGGAAGAGCTCTTGCGCCTTACTAGGAAGTGATCTGTGATTGTCTCCGTAACTTGATAGATAGAAACTGACAACCAAAAACTAGACAGTAGCTCTTTAAAAAAACTGTTTGCTTCGCTGTAACCACAATGCCAGCCATGTGGTAAGCACTGCATTACTATCACTGGTCCGGAAGCCATAGATTTCTGAATAAATACAGGGTATTGCTAACACAAAGTTTATCACAAGGTCAAAGATTGCTTGCAACTGCCAGATCTGTCTTCATTAGATCAAAACCTAGCGGAGCTCTGAAGCTTTAAGGGTATGTGTTTGGAAAGGATGAGATTTATGGAGAATGTTATGTGACGGTTAAACACACTGGTGGAAACAAGAAGTGCATTGCAAATAAACAAATCTTTGGCGAGAGCCCTTAATAAAAGGTTTGAGAACCACTGAAACAGAGGCTCCCTTAAGCACACTACCAGGGTTCTTCAAGGATTACCAGTGAGCCCCTGATGTAGCCATTACTGAGAGAGCAGAAATAAGATTTGCGGTCCTAAGGACAGATTTTTGTTGTTATTCAATCACACAGTCGAGTCCGACTCTTCGCGACCCCATGGACCAGATAGGGTCTGCTTAAGTGGAAGAAAGGAAGGGGAGCTACAATGATAAACACACCAAGAATTGAATTGGAGTGAACAGGCCACAGCTTTATTTATTACAGCAGATGGAGCATTGGCGCAGCATAAGGCAGGATCCAAATGCATTGGGTGACCCACCTGTCCACCGATGAACCCCATCCCCAGCCCACCTGCTGGGGGAACCTGGAGTGGCAAGCCAGTGGTCCCACAAAGGCACAAACCTCTAAGTGGACCCCTTGCCACCTGGGAGTGGAGCCAGGCATGCCCCCGGGCCAGGCATGCTGCTATAAGGCTCGACCCCCAAGATCCCTTAAGGGGGTCCCCACCAGGGAAGACAGGCAATCAGGCACAGCCTCCACCCAAATGGATCCAGCCCAATGTCTGAAACTGCCACAAGAGCTGGGAGGGTACCGCCTGCTGCTGCCAAAGCTCCTACAGCTGCAACCAACAAAGGAGGGTGTCCTGCATACCATGAAGCCATAAGCCCTGACCCTAGCAGGACAAATGCACACCACTGGCCCTGTAAAGGGCAGCCAGCTTAATGTAAGGGTGGCGAATGACCAAGCCACCAACCGACTCCACAAAGCAACCTGCGGCCTTGCACATTTTCTTCTTCAGAGAGTCCACTTTGTCAGGGGCACCTCTATGCCCTCCTGTTGAGCAGATAAATATGAGCACAACACCGTGCTCATATTTTCTGAAAATCTTTTAAATGAATTAAAAATATATATATATTTCTTCTTAATTGATTATATATTATTGCAAACCTGTAATTCTATGCTGAAATTAACAATTCTCTATTGTAACTCATTAAACAGTCTTATATTATTATCCAAATGACCACTAATCCAACTCAACAACCTTCCTTTTCTTCTCTCTTGACAGGTCCCTAGAGGAGCACACTCCTTTCATTCACAGCAATCTTCCTCAGAAGTAATGTATTCCAAGAGTTGGAAAAAGATGAAAATACTAATATTTGGGGAAATATTAAATGTAAGGATTCAATCTGTCACTAACTGTAGATCAAGGACCTTCTATAAACTTATTTCTTTGAAAAATACTTTCCCCAAAATATTGGTAATCACACCAGAACTGAATCTTCCTGTTCCTGAAGGATTCACTCCAAAAGGTGACCGCTACCAGCTCTCTGCATTGTTATTTCACAGCATGTATCATATGAGCAGAAGCAGCAGGTAAGACTGGCAAGGGCCTGTACATGTGCATTCTCTGTTGTGCCCCCCCCAACTGTGTGGAATGGCCTACCTGAGAGGCCAGAAAGACTGCCCCACTTCTAACATTTTGCAGAATGTGCAGAACAGAAATGTTCCGGAGGGAATTTTGGTGAAAGGATTAGGAAAAATAAAAAGGCCACCCACACCAAGTCACAGGAGATAAAAAAAAAAATATAAATATAATTTTACCTGATTTTGCACCATTGGCCTTGGTCTTAATTTTTATCTTTTATGAAAGGATTAGAACCATAGTGTAACAGAACAGCTCAGGAGGGCATTTTTACAAGAGAACAGGATTACAGTCGATTACAATTTTTACTGTATTCACAATTCTGCTTTTACTGCTCCATCATCTACTTTTGTAATCCACTTTCTGCATCATGGTATGTAACGCCCTGGCCAGTTCTTTGTTTGCATTGTTTTCTAACTAGGTAATCCTAGTACTGTTGTGGACATCTTATGCTGTCGGATTGAATTGCTATCTATATTTTTAATCTGCCTTCAGTTTCAGTGAGAACAGTGGCTTATAAACAAAGTAAAATACATAAACAAAGCAAATATTTTACACATCCTTAGAGCTGCTTCAACAGAAGTCAGCTGAGTGAAGGGGGAAAAAAAGAGAAGACTGAGCAAGACATTTGCTTTGACAGTTCCAGGAACTGCAGCCCGTGCAAGTGAAGAAGGCTCTGCTTGCACTCTACTCCACTTATCCCTTTCCACCACTGCCTGTGCCCCCTCTCTCAGGATCCACACATTGTCCTTGACTGCCCTCGCTCATCCCACAGAATCCTCCAACCGTACATGGACCTTCTAAGCTTTTAGGGCAGAGAGCCCGGTTGTTCCATACAGTACATCCACCTTCTGGGATGCACTCCTGCCCTCTCCCTGCATCCAGTGTGTCCACACACTAGCTACTACTAACCCTATAGAATATGAACGTGGTGGAGCTGCACGCTAATTGTTCCACTATGGGTCTTTAGCCTATAAAATGTATTATTGTAGTTTTATTTTGAGACATTTTGTATTTTACTCCCTTCTTTGAAAATGTGTGAACATTTCTTGTTCTCACTTTGATGGAATGGTTGTGTTGTTGCTGTGTCTTATTCACAGATGCAACAACAATGGACTGAAATAGCAGTGCATTAAAAAGACCAAAAAGTTAGGATTAAGGGTCTAAACTGCAGAGGGCTTTACTTTGATTAAGTAAAACAGACTAGGGGGAAACGCATAATTAAGGTCACTCTGTTGAGACCATTCAAAAATTATTTGGATCAACACCAAATTAATGACTATTCTTTTATTCTTGGGACCTCCCTTACAAGTGCAAATCTGTCAGTGCTTACAACAGTCCCGTCATAAGTGAGGGGATGTAATGTGCTTGGACAAGTACACAGTGTTTGCCATCACTACACAGCACTTCCAGCTGGCCCTGGGCCAAGAATATAATATTTTCAAAGCACCAGCCAGCAACAGAGATACAGATACAGAGATACAGAGCAGGGGAAATGCTATCTTTGGACCAACTTAAATGCAGTCTTCGATGATCAAGGCTTCTAAATTTTGTTCATCTTATTCTGGAGTAGTCTAAAAGAATCATCAGTGGGGATGCCTGATGGCAAATGGGTTGAAGTATGAAGCCTCCTATAACAGAACGAGAGAGAGAGAGAGCAGGAACACCATGGGGAGGCAGCCGCTCCGAGATGCAGCTTCAGGGCACCGAAAAGCCCTGAGTGGGTTGTGAAAGACAGACCAGTTGGAAGAGCTTTCGCTGCAGGAGCAGGGTGACCTGTCAGTATCAGTACAGTACAATCCAGTCTGAACTAAACATACAAAGGTAGAGACCTGTTGACTCTGCTTAGTTCATGTACAGCCACCACTTTCCTGAAAAGTGTACACGTGCCCTGCTTGTAGTTTTCCTGAGATGAAAGATGCACCAAGCAGGGGCCAAGCGTGATTAATTTATTGTGCATCGGTAAGATTGGTCTGGCAGTTCACAGCAGAGAGTGATACAGATAGAGACAAAGTGTGCTGCCCTCTTCCCCAAGAACGTTCAATTTTAAAAATCTCAAACAAACCTATGAGGTGGGGGAGCAAGGATCTTATACTATTTTCTCAGGGTTCGTTTCAGCTTTCCTATGCATGTTCCTAAAGAAGCCTTCCCCCCCAATTACCAAAGATCCATATATTTGCACTTGCGAAAGGGGCAGTTCCAAGCATGAAATCTGACCACAGTTTAATTCCACCTTTTCTTCAGGTTGCTCGGGGTTGTGTATGTTGTTTCTAATCCTTTTCTCAGCTTCAGAGGTTGCTGTGAAAAGTCACCTGGCAAGCTTTGTGGCCAACTGTGGCTTTGAAGCTGGGATTGTTTCACTCCTGGATGAGCACTGCAACCACTATACAGGATCCCGCCATTCCTGAGATCTTCTCTGAAGTTCACAGGTGGCATAATATGGTTAAGCTTTTCAAACATTACAAAAACACATGGCTTTGCCTATTTTCTGGGTACTTCTATGCAGCATGTTTTTGTTTTTAAAGTAAGCAGCGAAATAGAAGTTGACAGCAACAGAGCATGTGTGTGGGTGAGAGAGAGAAACAAAAACAACTGAATGAGTCTTAGCACACACACAGCTTTGGACAAGTTTTCTATTCAGAGTTTAGGAGCTCCTTTTGACACAGGTCTTGTGCCACATTGTTGTACATTTGCCTTTCATGTATTCTGTTCTTCCACTGATCCCGAAGACCTTCAACTGCTCAGGCCTGTCTCCATTTTTGATATGGAAAAACAGGTGGAGCATAACTGAAAAGTGAACTGTACAAATTATATCACCCATTTCAGGCATCAAAGCTTCAGAAGGGACCTGCTACAGTGAAAAGTTCCACATCTGCTATGTCCCCCCCTCTGGCATTTTGCATCTCACATACTCACTCTCTCCATTTTATATGTGACTGAAAACAAAGCCATGATTGATGACATGGTTATGCTACCATCGTATGCGGTTTGGCCCTGAACAATAGATTTTCATCTGAGTAAACAAGCATAGGATCAGGATACAAAGCTGCACAGTCATCCCCATGAAAACAATAGGTCTTAATTCCAAGCAAGCATAAATAAGACTGGACTGCAGATAATCAGCCCTCAGTTTTAAAAAATGAGGATCACCATGCTGAAGCCTCCTTTAGTAAGCATGGTTCTGCTACCGGTTCAGAACCAAGATGGCAGTTCATTTAAGATAGGAGGAAGCCATACCCAAAGGACGTTGATGTCTTTGTAGTGGAGGATTTTTTTAAAAAAATCATTTAATCACATCCAAAGCTTTAAATGAGCTTAATCCACACCAAGAGACCATCTGTTAAGAGCCTGAAGTAGGTCAGTCTGGAGACAAAGAATGGCTTCCCAAGACCAAGCAGAAGGCTTGCCAAGTCCCCCCTGGGGGGCGGGGAAACCCCCGCCCCAGAGGCCCGTTCCCTGCTGCCGGCAGATCGGGCCCCCGGGGGAACCCCACCCCAACGTGCACGTCACCCGGAAGTGACGTGACCACGCCAGGGGTGGGGCCACGGTCATCCGAGGGAAAACTCTATGGTTTTCCCTCGGATGGTCGTGGCCTCGCCCCCAGTGTGCCCGGCATCGTCATGTCACTTCCGGGTGATGTGCGCGTGCGCACTCCAGCCGGGAGTCCCCCGCTGCGGCTCAAAAAGCACTTGGCAACCCTACCAAGCAGGCATTTAATTGCTGCACATGAACTCTAATCCAAGTCAAGGCCAGGAAGTGCTTGGAAAAAGATAGAGTTTATTTGGTTCAACTTCAGTGACATCTTGTCAGTCAAGTCCTGCTCACCAAGATGGCCTGAATGGCTACTCTTATAGCTGGGACCAGAAAGATATAACTGCCATTTTGATCAAGCAAGAGTCTGCTCTTCTCCTGATGCCATCAAAGAAAACCAGCTACACCCTCATTGATATCAGAGTCTCCCTCCCTTTCACCTGTCCATAATCCACCCAAGAGAGAGGACTTTCTTCCAGCTGAATAGTAACTGATATTATGGCCACACCCTGCCATTCTATAAGAAAAAAGTATCCACTGTTGTTCTTAGAATGTTTTGTGTATTTATATATTTAGATATTTATATGGCATTTTTCTCCCCAACAGTGACCCAAAGTAGCTTACATATTCTTCTCCACTGTATCGTCACAGCAATGACTCTGTGAGGTAGGTTAAGCTACCGAGGTCACCAAGCATGTGAATGGCCCAAGATCACCTAGCAAACTTTTAAGGCAGAGTGGGGGATTTGACCATAGGTCTCCTAGATCCTAGTCCAACACTCATCACTACCCCCTGCTGTCTCTCTGGGTATGACATATATTGAGTCAAGTTGCAAACGGCTGCTTTCCAGAAGCAAAGATCAGCAGGGAGAAAGACAGGATAGCGCCATCATCATTTCCTCATTTTTGCAACTTTTTAGCCCACCCTTTCCTGAAATGGCTTGGCTAAGGCTGCGCAGAGTGACGTAGCAAAACAGTGCTTCTCTCAGATGACTAAACATTATTTGGGTCTGGATACTATGCCATGCGAAGCTGCGGTGGCTCAAGTGGTTAAGACGCTGAACTGCAGGCTGTGGAAGGTCAGTAGTTCAGCAGTTCGAGACCCGGGTGCCGCAAGATGGAGTGAGCTCCCATCTCTAGTTCCAGCTCCTGCCAACCTAGCAGTTCGAAAGCAAGAAATTGCAAGTAGATCAATAGGGACCACTTCGGTGGGAAGGTAACAGCGTTCCGTGCACCTTGGTGTTTAGTCATGCCGGCCACATGACCACGGAAACGTCTTCGGACAGCGCTGGCTCTTCGGCTTGGAAACGGAGATGAGCACCGCAACCCTAGAGTCGGACTCGACTGGCTTTTGAGTAAGGGAACCTTTACCTTACTATGCCATGCAGGCACAGCAAGCAATTGCTGGCAGTTCATTCAACCAGACAGCTTCATCTGCACACGTTCCAGCACAGCACCACCAGCAGCACAAACTGGCACATGAAAGCTGAAGCTGGTGAGGCACAGCAGGCACTGTACTTCATGGCACAGACAAGAGACCACGTGCCAGGTACCGATGGCAGGGTTTCCATTGTTAGAATGGTCTTGAGGTTATTGCCATCTCACTGAATATATGGAACAGAGAAGGATATAAGGAAGACACACTCTCATTCAGCTGGCTAAGGGCATGTAAACTGGAAATGATAATGTCAGCCAGACAGAGAAAAGCTTTCTTTTTTAAAATCGACTCTATTAAAACAACATGAGGAAAAGCATTTCTTTGGGATTCAACTTGCCCTAAATTTCTCTTCTCCTGGTTGTCTGTTTACAGGAGTAACATATCTGTTTACTGACTCAGAGGTAAGGAAAATTTACTTCTCAAAGCAGAAAGCTGCAGGAGCCCTCTCCTCTGGTTATTTTTTAAAAAGTGAGAGGAAGTCTTGTCCATTAAAAGAACGCATCCTGCGGGCTTTGACACAGCATCACAGTTACCCACTGACACTGCAGAAGTGGGGAGAGGTCCCTTCTTAGCATATAATCCTTCTAGTGAGCATTCAGATCTCCTGTACTAGGGACATTCCTCTCAACTTCTCCCTCTGACGAACTTGGACCCTTACCTTTTGTGTTCAGAGGGGTGTCCAGGATCGTTTTCAGCAGCTTCATGTCCTTAATGTTATGAATATAAATAGATTCCTCCAGGCAAACTGTCAGTCTCTGCAAGAACAAAAAAACCAGATTTGTTGTGCAGGAATGGGAAAAGCCCCACATTCCAAGAGCCCATCAGCACGTACTAACTAGGTGCACCTGCGTTTCAGAAGACTGGCTGGGAGAAGTATCAGGTACCACATGGAAAGAGAAGAGTGACACTTTACCTCCTGAAGTCGCACTCTAAAGGGAAAGCAACTGAACAAAGCCTCTGAAGTTCTTTCCCTTAACTTATTAGATAGGTCTAGAAAAATTAGGAAAATCAAAAACAAAAAAAAATCACTGACCTTTATGTAATTTACTGGTCAGATGACTCAGGGGTTCAGAGATTAGCGGCAATCATTAGGAAATTGGGTTATCGGATGGATAGGTTGAGTTAAGGGGAAGTACCAGCAGCACTTACTATTGTTAGGTTAGATTGGGTTTTAGGACCAACTGTACTGAAGAACTGCTTTATCAGTAACATCCTTTATTTCCAGCTGGGAATCAGCCTACTAATAGTCTGAGGCTAGTCAGCGAAGACCATTAATGGCCGATGGCCAGTCAAGGGATGCCAGTGCTCCTGGGGAGGGGAAAGTACTGCAGTGGGACCATGCAAAAATGGAAAGGAAGGGAATAGAGACGTATAAGAGCTCGGCCGCCTTCCAGCCTGCATCCCATCCCGAAGGTAGTAGGTAGTGAGGCTAGGATTACTGATCCCCCTTAAACATTGGCGTTGTGCAATGCCAGGTCCATAAATAATAAGACCACGGTCCTTCATGACTTTCTGTCAGAACAGTACATGGACCTGGCATGCGTGACTGAGACCTAAGTGCGAGACAGGGAGACTGTAGCTCTCTCCCAATTAGCTCTTCCTGGGTACTCGGTCCTTAACCAATCCCAGACTAAGGGGCGGGAGGAGGAGTCGCTTTATTCATTCGGGAGGATTACACCTTCAGAGTGCTTCGGCTGCTGAAGCTCACGGGCATAGAGTGTGCTGGCTTTGTGTGGGAACTGGGGAGAGTTTGGTTGTTTGGCCGGTGTACCGTCTGCCCAATGCACCAGCAAAAAGCCTGCCATCCCTGCTGGAGGCCGTATCAGGCTGGGCACTGGAGCACCCTAGACTGTTAGTCCTGGGTGACTTCAATGTCCATGCCGATGACGTGACCTCCACACAGGCAATGGACCTGGTGCTGTCCATGGCGGCGCTAGGACTCTCCTAACATGTTACAGCTCCCACTCACTGAGTAGGGCACATGCTCGATCTGGTCATCGTGGCGGGGATTACAGTGGACCGAATTACTGCTATAGCAGTTCCATGGTTGGACCACCATGCCCTGAAGGCCTGTGTTAATGTGCCACCCTGGCCCCGTTTGGGAGGCGAGCATATTTTAGCTTGCCCACAGTGCCAAATGGACCCATGTGGTTCCAAATGGCTCTGCGGGATCCGATGCCCCCTGATGGCTCATTGGATGAGCTTGCTGAGGACTGGCAAAGCTGACTCTCGGCAGCCTGAGATCGCTCCCCAACGTCCTCTGCACCCCCGCTCTAAACTTGCTCCATGGTACACAAAGGAGCTGAGGTTGATGAAGTGGGAGCTTAGACAGCTAGAGAGACAGTGGCGATGCGCTCAGGACAAAGCGACAAGAGCATCCTAGAGGACATTTATGAGATCCTATGAGATGGCAGTCAAGCCTGCGAAAAGAGAATATTACGTGGTCACAATTGCACCTGTGACCCTCGCCCAGCCCAATTCTTTGGAACAATTCGGTCTATTACTACTCTGCCACAGGGCAGATCAAACGATAAGGAATTGGAGATTGGCTGTGAGGCTTTTGCAAGCTACTTTGCAGATAAAGTCTTGTTGCTCCGCCACGATCTCCCCACCACAGTTGAGACAGTAACGGAACTCGAAGCTCCATGCGTGTCTTCTTGTCAAGTTTTGGATTATTTCAGTCCACTTAGCCTAGAGAAGGTTGACAAATTACTCTCATCTGTTCATCCAACCACTTGCAGCCCTGCCCATCATGGCTAATTAAAGCTGGTTGTGACGGGTTATGAGGCGCACTAAGGGAGATCATCAACAAGTCCCTTGTGGAGGGACTGTTCCCTAGTGCACTGAAGGAAGCGGTGGTCCTCCCTCTCCTAAAAAAACCATCCTTGGACCCGGCCGAATTAGCTAATTACCGGCCGGTATCCAATTTGCCCTACCTGGGCAAACTAATTGAGAGTGTGGTGGCGATTCAGCTGCAAGGTTTTTTGGATGACACCTCCACATTAGATTCCTTCCATTCTGGTTTCCAACCAGGCCATGGGACAGAGACGGTCCTGGTCACCTTCACAGACAACCTCCGGAGGCATCTGGACCAAGGCAGTATGGTAGTATTATTGTTGTTAGACCAGTTGGCAGCGTTCAACTTGGTCAACCATCAACTACTAATCCACCACCTCACCGACACCGGGATTCAGGGGTTTGCCTTGCAGTGGCTCTCCTCGTTCCTTCAGGGTCAGGGACAAAGGGTGGTCATTAAGGAACAGCTAACCGGAAGGCACCCGCTAATTTGCGGAATGCCCCAAGGAGCAGTGCTTTCCCCAATGCTATTCAACATCTATATGCACCCCCTTGCCCAGATTGCCCAGAGTCACCAACTGGGTTGTCACCAATATGCAGATTACACCCAGCTCTATCTATTGCTGGATAGCCAGTCAGACTCTAGTCCGGGAGATCTGGACCTGGTGTTGAAAGTTGTGGCTGGTTGGCTTAGACTGAGTCGACTGAAACTGAATCTGATGAAGACAGAGGTCCTGTACCTGAGTGGGCCAAGGTTAGGGATCTGACCTTCGATGGGGCACCGTTGGTGCCAGCACCGGAGGTTGAGAGCTTGGGAGTGCTCCTGGAGGCCCAAGTAGCAGCCACTGCGAAGTCTGCCTTTTGCCATCTGCGGCCGATTAAGCAGTTGGTTCCCTTCCTTGAACACAATGACCTAGCAACAGTGATCCATGCAGTGGTCACCTCGAGATTAGATTACTGTAATGCTCTCTACATGGGGCTGCCCTTGTCCCAAATCTGGAAGCTACAGCTGGTGCAGAATGCAGCAGCCAGGCTGTTGTTGCCTCTCCCTATGCGGGAGCACAACCAGCCTGCCCTAAAAGCACTGCACTGGCTGCCTATAGCATACCAGATTTGGTATCAGCACTGGAAATGAGACAGGAAACATAGGTCTCAATTTAGTCCAGGAGGATGCAAAGAATAAATGAGCATAAGTCTAACATTAGAAACCACAACATTCAAAAACCAGCGGGGGAACATTTTAATCTTCCAGGACATTCCGTTGCTGACATAAGAGTAGCAGTTCTCTTACAAAGGAATTTCAAAGAGAGATTAGAAAGAGAGACTGCTGAATTGCAACTGATAATGAAGCTCAGGACAATGCATCCTCCTGGTCTGAATTGACCTAGGTCTCCTGTCTCATTATCAATGCCTGCTGCTATCATTTGGCATCTGAAATCACTCCACTCTCCAAGATATAAGGATAGATGGACTCATATTCTAGCTGTATCTGAAGAAGTGAGCAGTGACTCACGAAAGCTCATGCCCTGCCACAAATTTTGTTAGTTGTTAAGGTGCTACTGGACTCTTGCTCCTTTCCACTAATAAAGATTGCAAGCTGTGCTGTTAGATTTCTTTTTTTCCTTCTTCTTTATCTGTTAGAACTGGAGAGGGGGATCTTTCCAAGTGAAAGAATGTGTTGATTTGAGACTGGGCAAAATCCACTCAGTGCTAGAGATGATAATGAAACAGTTAAAAAAGCAAAGTGGCAGATTAATGTGAAGAAAGGCAGCCAGTGAGATGGGAGGGAAGAGAGGAAGACATGTTGAACTGGAACATATGAAACCATAAATGTATTTTAAATACTTAGCCATCTACTTCCAGTCATTAAACAATGGAATCCAATCAAAGTGCTGTAATTCCTAATCAGTATCTTTTTGAAAGAAAATAAAAGCCCAGATAGGCACAGAGAAATCTAATCTAAAAAAAACTTTTCAGAATAAGCCAAAATTATTTCCTTTTAATTCCCCTTTCCCCTTATCCCAAAGCATCTCTTTCCGGCATCCCCTTCCTTTCTTTTAACGTGCATATGTGTGATCAAGTCTCAAACTAAACAACAGAGCAGGGTGATCTTAATGTAAATTGTGCTTATCAGAATTCCCCCCTCCCTCCCTCTGAAGAAGTGTGCGTGCACATGAAAGCTTATACCTTGAATAAAACTTTGTTGGTCTTAAAGGTGCCACTGGACTTGAACTTTGTTCTCTCTCTCTCACTGACTCGTTCCCTCTCCCCCTTCCTCCCCTCTCCTTCCTTTCCACCTCAGTCAGTTGGAGGGGGGAGGAGACCTCAGCCAATGGAGGGAAGGAGACTTGGCTTTGTATCTCTCCCCCTGAGACTGAGGGAGACGGGTGAAAGTGAGTTGCAACACAGTAGCAGCAACAGCTCCAGAGAAGGAAGCAGGAGAGAGTCAGTTGCTCCCAAGCCTGATACAAGTCCTTGGCAAGCCAGTTCCTGCACGCAGGCCATGTTTTTGGCACCCCTGTGTAGAACTTGCAGGAATAAGACAGAGGCACAGACCAGAAAAGCACTCCATCATTCACTTCCTCTACAATTTTCAGTGCAAGATTATGCAAACAAAACAGTATTGTATGTATCCCAGTGGTAGGGCACAGCTGCACACTTAACTTTCTGGATTCCCATGAAGATACACCCAAAGAAGGGGAAATAAAATTTCATTAAGAAGACGCCCGGCCTCATTTGTACATAAGGTTTTCAGCTTGCAGATTTATGGGTGCATATTAAAAACATAGTTCTAATATTACAAAAAGTGTTTGATACAGTACCCAGTGCATCAAGTGTCCGGGAATAATCAATGATGCTAGTGACACACTGTAGCAACCCTTGATGGGCCAAAGTTCCTCCTAAAAGTAGGCCCCAATTTTGGGAGAAACTGCTTGGATGCCTATAGAATGGCTAGGATTTAGGGGCTGGACAACTGGTGAAATTGTGTGTGCTTGCT